GTTCTGAGGCCCCTGCCGGCCCTGGCATCCCCTGTTCTGAGGCCCCTCCCGGCCCTGGCATTCCTTGTTCTAAAGCCCTCCCAGCTCTGACATTCCTTGTTCTAAAGCCCTCCCAGCTCTGATATCCCCTGTTCTAAGGCCCTTCTCAGCCCTGATATTTCACAGGCCTGAAGAGAGAAGCCTCACTTGGCTTATTTACTCCCTGTGGGACCTTGGGTTGGTCACATGCCCTCTGACTGTGGTAAAAGGGTGAGCTAGAACCGGATGCGGGCTTCTGGATGTGGCTCTTTCTAGCTTTAAACCCTCCACTTTGGACTCTGGGAAATCCCCCCTCCTTCGTGCTTGACCCTCTTTCCTCTCCTGCAGGCTCTCCCATGGAGACCGCTGAGGGCCCCCAGGCAGGGCTCTCGCCAGCGCTGGGTGAGTGGTCCCTGAGGAGGAAGGAGGAGTGCCTGATGTCCACCTGAGGACCCTTGGGGTGGGAGCTGGTGCCCTAGGAAGGAGGCCCCTTCCCCATACCTTCAGCTGCCGCTTTATAAAGCGGAAGGTGCCTGAGGGGCATGGGATGGGGTTTCAGGGCCAGGCTGGCCACTGGGCACCACTTTGAACACAGCCATTGGCTGGGACTCAGTTTCTTCATCTGGACAATGAAGGGCTTGGTCATAGATCGTGCCTGAGGACTCTTCCGGCTCTGGCATTCAATGTTCAAGTTCTTTGTACACTCTGAGCTCCCTCTCCTGTTCTGGGGCCCCTCCCAGCCCTGACATCCCCTGTTTTCAGGCCCCTCCCAGCTCTGACGTCCCCTGTTCTAAGCTCCCTCCCAGCCCTGACATCCCCTGTTCTGAGGCCCTTCCAGTCGTCACATTCCCTGTTCTCAGGCCCCTCCCAGCTCTGACGTCCCCTGTTCTAAGCTCCCTCCCAGCCCTGACATCCCCTGTTCTAAGCTCCCTCCCAGCTCTTCTATTCTGGGATTCTAGGTGCCAAGATGAAGCATTTCCTGGCCTTGCTGGAGGAGCACAGGGCTTCTCCGGCCCCCCCACCAGAGCTGGTGCATTTGGCTGGAAGGCTGTGCCAGGAACCCCAGAGCACCCCTCTTCTGATGCTGGAACCCCTGGCCGAAGCGGTGCTGGGAAGCCCCCACTGGCAGTATTTTCTCTCCAGCATGGACGTGCTCCGAGTGTGCGTCCTCATCCTCGCCCGTCGGGGCCAGCACCAGTCAGCCTGTCGGCTTCTGGAGGTAGGAGCCCGCTGCGTGGTGGGGATGGAGGCAGGATGAGGCACAGGCCTGGAGGCCCTGCCTTCGGAGCTGTGGGAGGCCTCCAGCTTAGCCGCCTCGGCCACATGGAGCAGTGCTGCACAGAGGGATTGCCACTGGGAGCGAAACAGCTGTCATAAAGCCCGTGCCAGGCCTCTCTCGTCCCAGTCACTTACATATCATAACATACGCCACTTCCCTTGGTGATTCACTTACCGGCTCCATGCTGGCAGCTCTCTAACCTGTCTCTGCTGACCTCCAGCGGCCCTTCAGACATCTCAGACTGGACTCCAGCCCACGTCTTTAACATATCATGTGCGGAGGGCACCGGTGCAGGACTCCTCACTCTCTCTCACCCTCCACCTTAGGCCCCGTCCTCTCCTCCGACCCTGCCCCCACCCAGGGGCAGGCCCTCGTCCTCTCACCCCTGGACTGCTGCAGCAGCTTCTGGGGGTTCTGCTGCCTCAGATCTCTCCCCCTCCACACCCGCCTCAAGAGTGATCTTCCTAAGCTCAGGTCTGACAGCGTCACCCTCCCTGGCTCCCTGCAGCCTGCCGGACCAAACCCAAAATCCTTTATGGGGCATTTAAAAGCCTTCATCCCCAACCCCCTCTCATTTTTCCGGGCTTCTTACACGTTCGTCCCCAGCAAGTCCTCTCTGATCCAGAGACATTCCATGAACAAGGTGTTGTCCCCCAGGCCTGGACACCCTCTCTCCTCTTCTCTGACCACTGGCTTCCTCACGACCCGGCTAAAATCCCACCTTCTTACAGGAAGCCTGCTGCAAACCCACTTAATTCTGGGGCCCTCCCTTATATCAAACGTCTCTCTTTGTTTTGTGTGTGTACACCTGTCTGTTTGTTGTTAGATGATAAGCTCCCCAAGGTCAGGGCCTGGTTTTTACCTTTACTTGTGTCCGCGGTGCTCAGCACAGTGCCTGGCACATTTGTCAGCGGTTTTGTCTGCCTCTTTGTGACCGCATGGACCAGACCGTCCGTGAGGTTTTCTTAGCAAAGATACCGGCTTGCCATTTTCTTCTACAGTGAATTAAGGCAGAGTTAAGTGACTTGCCCAGGGTCACACCACTCGTATGTGTCTGAGGTCAGATTTGAGCTCAAGTCTTCCGGACTTCAGCCCCAGTGCTGTATCTGCTGAGCCACCTGGCTGGCTCCTGGCACACAGTAGGTGCTTAATAAATGTTCATTGACTGCCTAACCGCCTTAGAAAGTTGCCCGGGTTATCATAGGCAGGATGAGGTCGTCTTGGCACCGAGGCTAACTGTCCATCTAGTACTCTACACTGACCTGGCAGATCAGTGGGCCTCTCGGGGCCTTAGTTTCTTCATCTGTCAAACCTAAGTCTCTTGGAATAAATCACAGCATCCTGGATCTGCAGCTGGAAGGCCCTCCAGGGCTGTCTAGTCTGACCGCCTCGTTTTACAGAGGAGGAAGCGGAGATCCGGGCAGGTGAAGTGACTTGGCCAAGGTCACATGTCCCAGTTAGGATTTGAACCCAGTGCCTCTGAGCCTGAGGTTCTGCTGTTCTCACCAGCACTGCAGGGAGACTGGTGAGAGGGAGCAGCTAGTCCAGCTTTGGAATGAGGTTCATTACTGCAAGGTCATGGACAAATACCACGTGGATTCCCTGACGCCTGTGCAGAAGTTTCGCTGCCGGAAAAGGTACTGGGGAGCACTGACCGGCCTCGGTTCTGGGGTGGCGGGCAATCTGTGGGATCGGCCAGGGCGCAGCATTCATGCTCTGCTCCCCCGGGGGCTTGCTTCTCTCCGGCCCAAAGGAATCCTCCTCCTCCTTCCCTCTGCCCTGAGGGCGTGAAGAGCCGCAACTTCTCCAGAGATGTGCGCCAGAAGCTGCTGGGCTTTGCTGCAAGGGTGACCACGAACCCTAACAGGGAGCAGCAGGTAGGTGTGCAGGTCAGACCTTGCTGTGCTAACAGAATAGGGGCTGGGTGTGCTGGCTGGGCCCGGCTCCCCTAACGGGGAATAGGGGGCAGGTGTGCCAGCTGGGCCTGGCTCCCCTAACACAGAATAGGGGGTAGGTGTGCAGGTCTGACCTTGCTGTGCTAACAGAATAGGGGGCAGGTGGGCAAGCTGCGCCCGCCTCCCCTAACAGGGAATAGGGGGTAGGTGTGCAGGTCAGACCTTGCTGTGCTAACAGAATAGGGGGCGGGTGTGCCAGCTGGGCCTGGCTCCCCTAACAGGAACAACAGGTAGGTGTGCTGGCTGGCTCTCCTCACAGGGAGCAGTGGGTAGGTGTGCAGGCCGGGCGCTGCCCCCGACTGAGCATGGAGAACTTCAGGGGGGGATTGAGGCAACACTGGTCAGGGGTTGTGTTGCTTTGTCCCTACGGCCTGAGGCCTGTCCGCCTCAGCCTTGACCACCCCCTCGGCCATTCAGCCCTAGGAAAGTGACAATGGCTGGTGTATTGACTCCCTAGTCCTTAGCCCAACTGGGCCCATTTGAGAGCTAGCTCCAGAAAGGGGATGTATCCAGGAAGGACGTTGGGGCTGAGCTCTGTCCTGGCAGATCGCCCCAGGTCCTCGGGATCCTAGGGGGACTAGCACTGTCCTGAGACCATCCTAAGCTGCCATGCAGGTCTGGGTTGGTCTGGCCCAGGGGTAGCCAAGATTCTAGAGGATTAGTCTAAATGGTCTATCAGGCCCTTTCTGGCTCTGGATCTTGTATCCTCTGAATCCAGGAAAGCCATGGGCAGCCAAGGGTTAGCCCACTGACAGGGACCTTACTACAAAGGTAGCGTTTGGGTTGGTCTCTCAAAGCTGGCAGAAGAAGCCCCGGCATTCATGGCACTGTCAAGTTCACTGAGGCCCCTCCCCTGGACCCCCTCTGCAGCTCTCATTGCCTCTGGCTGTCTTCATTTCTGGGGTTCTCTGATTTCTCTCTGCCTCCTTGGGGGCCGCAGGGGAGACTGGCCTTGGAGACGGGCCTGCAGGCCCACCAGATCTATAACTGGTTTGCCAATTACCGCCGGCGCCAGAGGTCGACCGTCCAGAGACGAGCAAGGCTCCAGTCCTTTCCCCAAGGCGAGGAACCTGCATCGGAAGCCCAGCCTTGGCTGGACACCGGACCTCGCAGCCTCCAGCCCCAGGGTAGGTCTCCTCTTATTTCTAGCATTGGGGGGACATCAAAGAAAACCCGTCAGCTGGGAAATGCAGCGAGAGCTCCTGCCCCCACCTTCCTGTCTCCTTTCTGATCCCGTTTTGGAGGGGTGGGGATGGAGAAGTGCAGTGCGGGCCCCTCCCTTGGCTGGCAGCTGGACAGAGGAGTTCATGGACTTTCTGCGTCCCTGACAAGGTCCTAGCCTCATGAGGGGACTTTATCCAATCTAACCTCCCCATGTTACAAATAAGGAAACTGAGGCCCAGAACCAGTTGGAGTCAGGAGGATCTGAGTTCAAATCCTGCCTCAGACATTTAAAAGCTAGCTGTGTGACCCTTCACCTCTCTCAGCTCAGTTTTGTCATCTGGAAAATGAGGATGAAAATAGTGCCTCCCTTCTGGAATTATTGTGAGGTTCAAATGAGATAGTGTATTTGTAAGGTGATTTCCAAACCTTGATCCTCAGGCCAGCCCTAGGAGCTCAGCACTACTGGTATTACTCCCATTTTACAGAAAGGGAAACTGAGACTCTGCGGGGTTGGTGTGGTTTGCCCAGGGTCACACAGCCATGGAGCACCCGGAGGTGGAGTTCCAACACAGATTCTCCCTCGCATCAGTCAGGCCCAGAGCTCTTTTCACTCCGGGGTAAGGGGACCATCCTCCCCCTAGAAATGAGGCAAGGTAGACAGGACAGTTTGCCCAAGAGCCCCTGACCCCTCTAACCCCATCACCCTTGGGTGTTTCCTTCTCTGTTTTCAGCTGGATTCCAGGGAGATGTTTACCTGGGGCCCCCCGAGGCCCCCTTGGGTCCTTGTGAGCTGGCATGGGAGCCACCCATCCTGGACCTGAGGTGCCCTCCGGAGGAGGGGCTGGCTAAGCTGATGGATGCCAGGTAAGGGCAGCCCGTCGGTAAGCCTCTCTCTGCTCCCCATGTGTGCAGGCCTCGCTGAGCACCGGCGCAGGCGTCTGGGGGCACGGCCCGGGTGGGCTAGGCTCCCAAGAGGTCCCCATCAATTGGGAAATAAGACAGTCCCACAAAGGGTGGAGAGCGTGTGGAGGGAGAGACGGTCCTCACTTGTGGTGGCTACATGGAAGAGGCCCCTGACCTGGCTTGGAGGGATGAGACTTTGAACAGCAGGGATGAGAATGAAGAAAGCCCTCCCCACCCAGGCATCAGGGCTGAGGTGACCCAAGGCAAGAAGCCGGGAGCCCTGGAGGAGGACAGAGGTTTGAAGGAGCCCAGTCTGGCTGGGGTCAGGGACAGGGAGGGCCTTGCATGTCAGTTAGGAGCAGTCTTCCATCCCATTCGCATTCTGGTGTTTCCAGTTATCCCCAGTGGGTAGCAGCCCTTTCTCTGGCTGTCAGGAGAAGCTGCCGAGTCTTGTGTGGTGCTGACCCTAGCTCTTGGATGCCTGAATCCCTGCTTTCTGGTGGCTTGCAGAATTTTTCCTTTGACGTGGAAGCTCTGGATTTTGACTCTCATGTTCCTGGGGGTTTTCATTGTGAGGTCCTTCCGGGAGATGACCAGTCGATCTTTTCTCTCTTCACTTTGCTCTCAGGTTCTAATAGACTTTTTTTTCTTAATCCTGGTTTTCAGAGTCCGGTGATTCTTCAATTACCTCTCCTTGATCTGCTTTCCACTTCAGTTTTTTAAAAAGTGTCAGGTTCCGTTTTCTTCTATTTTTTCAATCTTTTGATTTTGTTCTAATGTTTCTTGCTGCCTCACATACTCATTAATTTCTGTTTAGCCAGTTTTTGTTTTCCCCTTTCCTTCCCTGCCGGTCACGGCCTAAGTCACCCGCACCACGTGCTCTAAAGTCCTGTGGTTCTGTCATCACTCAGGAGCGTTGGGCCTTGGTCAGAGCTCATTCAGAATTCGCACGCCGTGCCTTGGCCTGCCTCCTCCACTGCCTGCCCCTCCTTTTGGCTCTGCCCCCAGGTTTGTGAGAAGCAACGAGATGCCGGTCGAGAAGGTGGCCCAGGACCCCCGGGCTCTCCTGCTGACAGCAGGACCCAGCTTCCCTGGAGAAGGCCCCAGCACTGCCATCTGCCCTCCTGCCTCTGCCAGCAGGCCAGGGCCTGTCCTTCCCGCCCTGGCCCCCTGGCCCGAGAGCTTCTTCCTGGGCCCCTGTGAGTCGCTGCCGGGCCAGGTCCAGGAAACAGTCTATGGCCAAGAGCTGGAGCTCCTGCAGCCCATCCCAGGAGCGTCCCGGGAGCCGGCCACCATGGGGTCCCTCTCTGCCTTCTGGGACCCCAGACCCTCAGGTCAGAGTTCTGCCTTCCCCCTTCCTGTGGCCTTCTCTGTGCATTGGGTACCACAATGCCTAGCTTTTATTTCACAGTTGGCGGGGTGGGAAGAGCGCATCAACCAGGGGTCCTAGGATGTCAGGGCTGGAAGGGGCCTCAGAGAGCATCTTGTCCAGCCCCCTCATCTCCCAGGGAAAGGAAGTGACTTGCTCAGTATCCAGGGGCCATCTCGTCCGTTGCTGGTTTCTTGCTCTGGAACCCCCAAAGAGGAGGGCCCTTTGAGATCCTGTGGGCCAGGGGCTCTTTACTTTGTTGGAACCCTGGACCCCTCCTCAAGATCATGGTTTTAAATGCATAGAGAGGATTACAAAAGAAGCCAATTATCTCTAAAGACAATTATCGGCATTGTTTTTAGCATCCCTCGTCTAGTTGAACATCCTCATTTTTTTTTCAGGTGGGAAACTGAGGCTTAGAAAGTGAGTGGGATTCAGCCTCAGGACGCTCTGAGCCACGGCTGGAGATCAAACCTTCTGATACCCAGCCCAAGACTGGCTCTGAGCTGGCCTCTCATGTTATTGTTCAGTCATTTCAGCTCCATGATCCCATCTGGGGTTTTCTTGCCAAAGATACTGGAGCGTTCTGCCATCTCCTTCTCCAGCTCATTTTACAGATGAGGAAACTGAGGCAAACAGGGTGAAATGACTTGCCTAGGGTCACCCAGCTAATGAGCGGGTTAGATTTGAACTCGGAATTATGAGTCTTCCTGACTCTAGGCTGGGTGCTCTGTGCGCTATGGTGCCACCTAGCACCAGTCTTGAATAACCTCTGGCCCTTTCCTGCTCTTCCTTCTCAGGAAACTTCAAGGTCCCTTCACCAGACTCAAATGGAGTTTCATTGAAAACCAGGGCCCCTTCCTGGAGTGTGGCCCGGAAAACCCATCCCCCGGGGCATCAGGCTCCAGCACCCCTGGTGAACCATGAGGGAAGGGGCCTATTGTGGGGAGGCAGGGCCCTCTGATTTCACTGGGTGAGGAACTCCCTCTACCAGGGCAGCTTTGCCAGCGATTGAGGGCCGAGAGTCCTAGACAGTTGTCTGGGATGTCGAGATCCCGGTGCAACCTGCCTGGGTCACACCAGCAGGAAGTGGCAGAGACAGGACTCAATCCCAGGACTTTGTGGTTCCAAGGCTGACCCTCTATCTACTGAGCCCAGATGGATAGCACAGTGCTTAGAACAGTGCCTGGCATATAGGCACTTAGTAAATGTTAATTGATTGATAATTTTTGGAAGGGCTCTTAGAACATGGAAAGTCAGGGCTGGGAGGGGCCTTAGAACAGGGAATGTCAGACTGGGAAGGCTCTTAGAACATA